CATCCAACACCTGCACCATCAGCACCGGAGCTCCTCAGGGCTGCGTTCTCTCCCCACTGCTCTTCTCCCTCTACACAAATGACTGCACCTCTAAAGACCCCGCTGTCAAGCTCCTGAAGTTTGCAGATGACACCACAGTCATCGGTCTCATCCAGGATAGAGACGAGGCTGCTTACAGACAAGAGTTTGAGGCGCAGATGACACAGTTTTACTGTTATTGAGTCATTCTGTGCTCTCCTATAACTGTCTGGTTTGGGTCAGCCAGCAAATCAGATATAAGAAGACTGTTAGGACAACTGAACGGATAATTGGTGTGCACCTGCCCAACCTTCAGGACCTGTACAACTCAAAACCCAGCCACAACCTGTTTGCTGGCAGACGTTACAGATCTCTGTGCACTACAATATCTAGGCATAAAAACAGTTTTTCCCCCATGCCATCTCCACTCTTCTATAACGGTCTGGTTTGGGTCAGCCAGCAAATTTTGGTGTCCACCTGCCCAATCTTGTACAACTCCAGAGTGAAGAAACGGGCAGGTAACATCATCAAAGACCCGTCTCACCCCGGACACAACCTGTTTGCACTTCTCCCCTCCGGCAGACGCTACAGATCTCTGTGCACTAGAACATCTAGGCATAAAAACAGTTTTTCCCCCATGCCATCTCCAGCCTAAACAGCTAACACAGAGATTACCACCGGTCTTCTGTAATTCATTTCTTAATAACTAGTTATTGCCTCTCTCTCATGTATTATGTATACAGTAGTCAACATTTGAAGTGGATCAAAACCGTTCATCAAAGTTGTCCTAAAACCAAAACAATACCCGTTCTTGTCTTAGGACAACTTTGATAAACTTTTTTGATCCACTTCAAATGTTGACTACTGCATATAATACATATTTTTATTTATACTGCACAAATCTGTACATAAATCTTTTGTTCCAGATGCATACCACATTACTATTATTATTTATTCTTTTACAAATTCCTTGATTTGTAATTTAAGATTTTAAATATCTTTTATCTCACTTTTGATCAATTCAATGTGTTCTTGCTCAATAGAGTATATGAATTTATTTCAAGATAAATGAACAAAAAAATCTTCCTGACCCCAAACGTTTGTTAGATTTTTAAAGGAACAGTTTACTCAAAATGAGAATTCATGCTGTTGGAAACCAATATAAATGTCTTTCTTCCTTTAAGAATAAAAGGAAAGGTTTTCAGCAGTAGTAGCCATACCACTGGTCTTTGACTTTCATTATATAGAAAACAGCAGCTTGGACACTCTTACCTTATGTTTAATCCCACGTTAAGAATGTCTATATCATTCTCTTAGAAATAAAGGTTTTTATTGATTGTTCCATAAAGAGCTTTTAATATCCATAAAACCTTTTCAAAGCACAAAATGTTCTTTAAAGTAAAAAAAAAGTTCTTTTAAGAACTGTTCCCTGAAAGCTTCTTTGGAGGACCCGGAATGGTTCAATTGCATCGCTACAAAATCGGCCTTTTGGAACCTTTATTTTAATAGTTTAATCTGGAGGATGTTTTCCACTAAGATGTTTTTCAGTAAGTCAGTATTTCATTCTGGAGTGAAGAGTTTGCCCCTTTAGCACTAAACCCTCAAGAGTTCAGTCTAGAGGCACGCGTTGGCACGTTTTCTGTATTTTGCAGAGATTCAGAGGCTACCTTTCATCCGTGACCCTAACCGGGGACAAACAAGACCCCCACAGCGCCGGAACAATGCCTTTATGACTCAGGTATTCAGAAGATTACAAGAGAGAACAGGCGGACTATCTGCTCCTATTTGTGATGTTGTTGTTAACGTGTTACATAAATTCAGAAGGATCATTGACCTGCATTATGGTAAGAGGAATCTATATTCAGCATTACTGCATTAGTGTTTAGCTTCTTGACAGTGTGCGGTTTGGTTGAGCCTGTGTGAAATGCCTGACTGTCGCTCTCCATCCATCAGGTCGGTGAGGCGCAGTGGGAGTCTTCACTAACGAGCTTGGCTCTCCTCGCTGCACGGATTTGTCCTGCAGCTCCTGGGCCGCTCCACGCACCGCTGGGCCAACGCAATGGACATTTACCACATCAAAGAGCGCTATGTAATTGCTGTCTTTATGCAGTAGCAACACCAAAGAATATAGGGGGAGACGGCCGGGGTTAGTTGTCACACTTTCAGTGTAGTGAATATCGAGTAGATATATTTTTGAAGTTCATTTTGCTTATAGATAAATAGTTTGTCTTGCTAAAACATGTTATTGATTATTTCCTCCAATTTTACATTGAAAAACGTTCATCTGGCATACGTGAAACGTCACAAGAAAAGTGCTGCATTGTCAGTTTTTGAGAAAAATAGTATGTAACATTAAAAATAAAGTTGCACAAATACGTATTTAAAATATTTTAGAGGCTGAAATTGTAAAATTAAACCGTGAAACAATTATAACAATTAATGAAACAAAGATAACAAAAAAAAAAAACAACTTTTTTGATCCACTTCAAATGTTGACTACTGCATATAATACATATTTTTATTTATACTGCACAAATCTGTACATAAATCTTTTGTTCCAGATGCATACCACATTACTATTATTATTTATTCTTTTACAAATTCCTTGATTTGTAATTTAAGATTTTAAATATCTTTTATCTCA